TTAGAACCGACATGACTTCAATCTGAAATGGATCAGCCTTGACACTGCTTCAGTATCAAGCTGATTAGAACAGACATGACTTCAATCTGAAATGGATTAGCCTTGACACTGCTTCAGTATCAGGCTGATTAGAACCGACATGACTTCAATCTGAAATGGATTAGCCTTGACACTGCTTCAGTATCAAGCTGATTAGAACAGACATGGCTTCAAAATCAAACAGTTTTTATAGATTAAAATAATGCTAACAATAATAGAATATTCAAAATTCTCATATGAACCAACAATTACATCATACATATATAGGTTTCCTAACAACCTTACAAATGGTTCCACCTTTTCACTTACCAGACCAAACCATACCATGTATATTCATCCATGCAATGCGATGTACAAGCAACGTACAAGCAATGTAGTTGTTTTATGATATTCTTACTGGCCTGGGTTGATTCCGTTTTAAATAACCCATGTTGTACGGCAATGAAATCACCTTGCTTCAGCCATCACCTGGCTAACATTCAAAATGAGGTGCTTCCACTGATGTAAACAATTTATGTACATGAAAATATGGTCACTGTTACTAGACAACAGGAAGGAATGCCATTGATGATTTGTTTTACCTTAGGAAATACCCCACAACAAGTGTAGTTGTGTTTGTACAAAGGGGTTCATTTCAACATACTGCCACACGGACATGTGCATCTGCCATCACATGTTGGAATCAATGGACAGCCACATTACTCCTACACCTTCACAAACAAGAACAGATACATGTTATAATCATAATCACGACGACTCACCCCATGTGACACAGCAAGAGAGAGTTGAGAAGATTTTTTAAATGGACTGGATATGACAAAGGTTTCAGCACGCTGGATGTAAAGGTTTCTGATTCGAGATTAGAAACGTTTCCATGTTTATCATCTCACGTAAATATATACTGTCGTTTTGAATCAGAATCAACTGGTTTTGTTTTATCGATGGGTGAGGTTTGGGCTCATCACTATCACAGACAAAGCAAGAGTGGACATTGGATGTCTCCGACGATGAAGGGCACAGAGCCTGTTCCATCAGCTGGCTTAGGGTTCATGGAATTGCAACTGCCTCCCAAAATGTCTGACCATTAATTAACAATACTTTGGCTAATCCGCAAAGACAAATGATGGTTAATGCCTAGGTTAAACTTTCTGGGAAACCTTTTCCCTCTGAGACAATGCAACTGTCCATAAGTCTGTTGTCTTTGTTGCTTTGAACTCACGGAAAATCAACGGTAACCATCAACTTTGGCATCTTCAGATGACAACCCTTCCTTATAAAAAAGAAAGGGTTTTCCAATAATGATGGTGTTTCACACTATGTTTCACACAAACAGGACACAGCTGCAATGCCAGTGGGATTCAGGCTCTCAAGCATCGTTTTCAGAGTTGGGGTGTATAATTATACATCCACGTCAAGCGCAGTCCATCAAAGTTGTGCTCCGAACACTTGATCATCCCTTTTAAGACATACGCAATGCCTTTAACCAATGACATGCAGTCAAGACGACGGGCAAATATTCCTTTCAATAAGACAAAATTTACGAGTTCGATGAGTGCATATTGTAGTTATTGGTATATTCTGGTTTTCTGACAATCCCTGTGAGTTTATGGAATGCAATGATGTAGGTTTGTCCTTATCATTCTATCTTACAATGACGTCACTGACTCATAACTTGTCGCCACGAGCTCAAAGTATGAGTGAATGAGTATGGTTTTACGCCGTTTTAGCAGTATTATAGGAATATTCTAAAAGCAGCGTAAACGTTAGTCACCACAAGTAGAATCCTCTTCCCACACTGAGCTGGTGTACATGATGGGTGCCTGGTGGGGAGTTCACCATGTTCGCTCTCTCTCATTCATGTGATCTTACTCCATACTAACACATGTATTTCTTTCAGTTTTTCACCATCCGTATATCGTGTGCTCATCTTGCCTCCATCCCTTCGACCTTCATGACTTCGAGTTCCTCTCGTCCGCCTTGCCCTTATCATTCTTCCTTGGTTCAAATATTTCTATCAATCTTTATTAAATACAAGCCTTTCCAAATCTTCTGGACAAGGTAAATGGGAAAAAGAATTTGATAAAGAATATACGGAATCTGAACAAGAAGGAATCTATTTGATGTCGAAACGGTGTACACACAGTGTTAATTTGAAGTGGTTTCAGTTCAAACTTGTACACAACATTCTGTTTACAAACACAAATTTACATAAGACTGGATATGTTGACTCTCCACTGTGTACATTCTGCGAAGAAGAACCTGAAACAGTGATTCATCTGCTAAGTGAATGTGAACATTCAAAAAGAGTATGGAGTCACTTGTCAGCTTGGCTAAATACTGTAGCCGCAGGAAGAATTTGTTTCACAAACGAAAAATTATTCTTGGTTTTGAAGGGAAACATAACAATCCATTGAATGTGATCAGTATTATTACCAAACAAAATATCTATAAATGCAGTAAAAAGAAAATCAAACCATGTTTTAAACATGTTAAGAGGGAGATACTTAACTATTATGAGGCAACAAAGATAAATTATTTCCAGAACTGTCAATTCTCCAACTTTTTCAGTTTCTGGTCTTCTTTTCATACTCTGTTTGCAGACATGACAAATCTTCCCTAGGGGTAAAATTATCCCAAAAATCTCCTTACATGTTTGAAAATTGCAAACACTCTACACAGTTATTAGCATTTTCTGTACATCAGTCTAAAGAATTACTAAAAACACATTGTGACTGTATAACACTTTTTATGTGCCATGTGGTACATTATCATGAATGGTGTAGGTATATAATGTTACCTACTCAAAAACTTTTGTTTCACCTATTCAAACTAACATATACTCCACAATTATTGGATTTTCTGTACATCATTACAAGTCAAAAGAATAATTATAATATATTACGACATGTGCTATCCGTAGAACATTATCATTCATGTTGTACATATCTAATGCTATCTTTTCACTTGCTGAAACTGTCAAATACTCTATACAACTATTGATATACTATGTACATGCACTACAGTTATCATCCATGTGGTATGTATCTAATGCTATCTTTTCACTTGTTGAAACTGTCAAATACTCTATACAAACATCGATATACTATGTACATCGTTGTAAGTCAAGATAATAGGTACAACATTCTACGATTTGTAAAACACTTCGAAGTGTCATCTGCTGTACATTATCATACCCGTAGAAACTTAGTGCTTTATGTACATCATAACTTAAAATCTCACTAAAATATCATATACTACCATGCCCCCAAAATGATGTTATCCAGATTTATACACATTACTGTATACCTACTTTTGTAATATATGAAAATGGGAAATTAGCTGAAACTGTCAAATACTCTATACAACTATTGATATACTATGTACATCCACTATATTATCATCCATGTGATATGTATCTAATGCTATCTTTTCACCTGTTTGAAACTGTCAAATACTCTATACAAACATCGATATACTATGTACATCATTGCAAGTCAAGATAATAGGTACAACATTCTACGATTTGTAAAACACTTCTAAGTGTCATCTGCTGTACATTATCATACCTGTTGAAACTTAGTGCTTTATGTACATCATAACTTAAAATCTCACTAAAATATCATATACTACCATGCCCCCAAAATGATGTTATCCAGATTTATACACATTACTGTATACCTACTTCTGTAATATATGAAAATGGGAAATAAAAGACTTAAATTATAAAAAAAACATGGACTCATCTGTGAAGAGGACTGACCTCCAGCCCTGTAACCTGGACCTTCGATGATGACATGGTAGAAAATATGGACGCTTTTCGTCACTAGTCCTTACACTAGTCGGACGTAAAAAACAAACCAACGCGCCTAAAACGTTTAAATTTTCTAAATGGGGGTGACATAACGTCTCCGCCCACAGGTAAGGGGGCTGGAGGCCTAGTAGTTAAAGCGTTCGGTCGATTCCCCACATAGGGTAAAATGTGTGAAGCCCATTTCAGCGATATTGTTGGAATATTGCTAAAAGCGGCGTAAGACTAAACTCACTCACTCACCACAGGTAAGGTACTTCAACGACGTAATCTGATTTTGGATTGACACTGTCCAATGTGTACTGTGAACGTGTGAAGAATTATTTGCTCATGAGATTTAATGGATACAGACCGGATTCAACTTGCAGTTTCAATAAAATCATGGCAAAGTGTTTGTACATAGGGAGAATATGGTATTACACGGGACATCGTTTAGTATTTTATCACCCACCATTAGTAAAATAATGTATCAGAATTCAACTAACAGATCGAGTGCATTGCACCGTCATAACAGGAGCCACGCGTATGAATACATTTCATTTGTGATTGTCAGCATTAGTCTAATATTTAAGTTGATTTTTTAAACAAACAAGGGGTATCAAAAAGGGACCAAATGACTTCAACCAACATAACTTCTTTCATATAGATTGCTATTTCACGCAACTGAGCAAAGAACACCTGAAACTTCTTTCATAAAAATTCAATGAGTGCATTACGCCTGCACAACTATGTCAAGCGTATACATATAGTTCCGGCAATGTGTAATAACATTGTACATTTATTAAACAGTGATATCTTCAACAGGTGAGTAATAAAATTTAATGATTCCCTGCACGATTTCCAATATTTCAGAGCAAACATAATTTTATCAATATGTTTTTCCTCTCTTTGTTCGGTGCACGGGTTTTTTTTCTTCCTCTGGCTATTATGATGTCATTTAATTATTTTCCGTAGGTGCAATATAACTGCCTTGTCTAACCGGGATCTCCACAATGAAGCTAGCCTGGTGTGTATTTGTACAATAGAATGTTCCTATGTACGACACACGTCATAATACGTTCACAGGTCGAGTATATACTTATCAAAACGTACAGGGGATGTACATTGTATGCTGTCTGAAAACAGGTAGGTTCACTTCAGCGTTTTGAACGACATGGAAGCGGATTACAGCATCTACACCGGCAAAGCAAAGGCTTTCTCAGTCGTTGACTATGTCCTCTTCTCTCTCACCTTGGCAGCATCGTTAGGGATCGGGCTCTTCTTTGCCATCAAGGACAGAATGAACCTGGAATCGGAGGAGTATCTCTTAGGTGGTCGCAAGATGTATGCAATCCCTGTAGCGTTGTCGCTGTTGGTAACGTTCATGTCCGCGATGACGTTGCTCGGGGCGCCGGTCGAGATTTACAACTACACGACGATGTACTGGTGGATATGTGCATCGTTTGTGTTGGCGATAATACTGTCGGGTGTAGTGTTTATTCCGTTCTTTTTCAAACTGGGAGTCACAAGTGTGTTTGAGGTAAGAATCGTTGTCACCTGAATTGATATATTAAAGAATAAGATGTATAAGAATAGCAGAAGAAATAGTTTCATTCTGCCGCATTTGAAATGCCTCTCTCAGTTTCTCTCTCTTTCGATATTTCAGTTTTTGCATCCCGTGAAGATACTGGTTAGAATTGATCTTTAATTAGCAACCCATGCTTTCCGTAAGAAGCGCCTAAAGGGATCGGGTGGTCAGGCTTGCTGACTTGGTTGACACTTGTCATCGTATCCCAACTTCGTAGATCGATGCTCATGATATTGATCATTGGATTGTCCAGACTCGAATATTTACAGACCCTCGCCATATAGCTGGAATATTGCTGAGTGTGGCGTTAAACAACAAATTCTAGTTTACACCACTTGTTATTTGTTTATAGACAACCATGTAGGCACTAATAAACCGATTAAACGATACTTCGTTTCAGTATCTTGAGATGAGATTCAACAAAGCTGTTCGCACTCTTGGTGTCGTCATGTTTCTTATATCAACGGTATGTTCACACATAATTATATACCATTTTGTATAATTTTATGACAGAGTGTTTTTAGGTTTTAAACCGCAGTCAGTGATAATCGCCAGTAATAAGGGTGGCTTGTAAACAGGCGAGTTTGGGCAAGAGAAAGAAGGTATCGACGTTATGAACGCAGTACTCGCCAGCACTTAAAAGTATTTGTGTTCTTTCGAAAAAGCGAAATTTAACATGAATGGAATCCTATAAGTGACATTGCCGCTTTGATGCATTGTCGCGTTGTCGCCCTTACAAAATTAAGCATTAGATGTCAAAATTGACCGAAGTGCGACAACGCGACAATGACCCTTCTGCGATTCCATACCTATGGAAAAGCAAACATTAGTATGAAACATCAGAGGAAAACCAGTCACAATCAACCGGCGACACAAGATTCCACAAAATAATGGTAATACGTTGATGAAATCAGGTGTTTCCTGAAAGCATTATTGTTTCTTGAACCAGACTATTTCATTGATGTATTCTTCCTTCTTATTTCTCTCTTTTCATAGCAAACTTGGCAGCATCGTTAGGGATCGGGCTCTTCTTTGCCATCAAGGACAGAATGAACCTGGAATCGGAGGAGTATCTCTTAGGTGGTCGCAAGATGTATGCAATCCCTGTAGCGTTGTCGCTGTTGGTAACGTTCATGTCCGCGATGACGTTGCTCGGGGCGCCAGTCGAGATTTACAACTACGACGATGTACTGGTGGATATGTGCATCGTTTATGTTGGCGATAATACTGTCGGGTGCAGTGTTTATTCCGTTCTTTTTCAAACTGGGAGTCACAAGTGTGTTTGAGGTAAGAATCGTTGTCACCTGAATTGAGATATTAAAGAATAAGATGTATAAGAATAGCAGAAGAAATAGTTTCATTCTGCCGCATTTGAAATGCCACTCTCAGTTTCTCTCTCTTTCGATATTTCAGTTTTTGCATCCCGTGAAGATACTGGTTAGAATTGATCTTTAGCAACCCATGCTTTCCGTAAGAAGCGCCTAAAGGGATCGGGTGGTCAGGCTTGCTGACTTGGTTGACACTTGTCATCGTATCCCAACTTCGTAGATCGATGCTCATGATATTGATCATTGGATTGTCCAGACTCGAATATTTACAGACCCTTGCCATATAGCTGGAATATTGCTGAGTGTGGCGTTAAACAACAAATTCTAGTTTACACCACTTGTTATTTGTTTATAGACAACCATGTAGGCACTAATAAACCGATTAAACGATACTTCGTTTCAGTATCTTGAGATGAGATTCAACAAAGCTGTTCGCACTCTTGGTGTCGTCATGTTTCTTATATCAACGGTATGTTCACACATAATTATATACCATTTTGTATAATTTTATGACAGAGTGTTTTTAGGTTTTAAACCGCAGTCAGTGATAATCGCCAGTAATAAGGGTGGCTTGTAAACAGGCGAGTTTGGGCAAGAGAAAGAAGGTATCGACGTTATGAACGCAGTACTCGCCAGCACTTAAAAGTATTTGTGTTCTTTCGAAAAAGCGAAATTTAACATGAATGGAATCCTATAAGTGACATTGCCGCTTTGATGCATTGTCGCGTTGTCGCCCTTACAAAAATAAGCATTAGATGTCAAAATTGACCGAAGTGCGACAACGCGACAATTTCCCTTCTGCGATTCCATACCTATGGAAAAGCAAACATTAGTATGAAACATCAGAGGAAAACCAGTCACAATCAACCGGCGACACAAGATTCCACAAAATAATGGTAATACGTTGATGAAATCAGGTGTTTCCTGAAAGCATTATTGTTTCTTGAACCAGACTATTTCATTGATGTATTCTTCCTTCTTATTTCTCTCTTTTCATAGCAAATGGACTTTTGATAACAAATGGACTTTGTTTCAAAATATCTTGTAAGAGAAAAGTTAGTGCGGTGCATATTAAAATTGCTTGCTTCCATCTTTTTAATGCTCCTTTTCAACAAACATATCGTCCCAGGTAGTATAACAAGCCACTGTCGGGAAGAATAGGGGACCATAGGTATTTTATCATATTAATTAATTTACATAAGATCAATAAGTGTCATAACCTGATTAATTAACACCGATAAAAACTAAGGTGTATTGTTCTTGAAGTCTGACAAGTATCTTCATGTCAACAGAGAGGAGGTAAGGGTTATTATGGCATATTAATCAATCTAGATACAGATCAACCCGGGGGCACCATAGGTATATTATCATATTAATTAATCAAGATAAGATCAATAAGCGTCATAACCTGATTAATTAACACAGATAAGAACTAAGGCGTATTGTTCTGAAAGTCTGACAAGTATCTCTATGTCAGTAGAGAGGACGTAAAGGTTATTATAATTATAGCAAAAATGGATAGAATTATCATTAAAGCGCCCGCATGTTATCAGAAATGAACGGGCCACTGTAACTTGATAATGCCCCCAAATTGCTTGACGACGGGCCATGATCATGCCCGTTGTGTGGTGACGTCATAAGGTGCTAAAGCTCTTGATGTTCAATCACCTACGGCTCGTTTGAACTTGGTTTCAAAATTGACGATATTTCTGACTCACATTCGTCACATGTACCTATGCCACTATGCACTTTCTTGCCGGTGCCAACCTTAATTGTACCATAAATTACAACATGCAGCAATGAAAACATCGACTGGAACTCTAACGTTGTTGAGCATTGAAAAAAATGGCGGTTAGTAGTATGGGCAGAGGTCAAGGACGAATGTCGTCACTCTCAATAGTGACGTCATTTGTTTTGTTCTATGACATGTCTATATTTGTAAAAAGTGTATCAGTGACCTGTTTGTTGTTGGCAAACGTAACATGCTTCAAATGCTTAAATGCTTCAAAACCGATACCGTTGTTTGTGTTTATTATTATCCATTTTAGCTATAATGACAGTAATGCTATTTTTCAGGGTGCCGTTGTACAAAACAACCTTAGCCCTACGTCTGTCGTAAGTCTATGCTAGGGTATAGGAGTTACGATCACCTTAGCACTAAGATCGCTTTGTGAAACGGGGCCCAGGGCATTATCATTTGCAAAAGCCCTCGGTCTTTTCAACTGCCCTCCTTGCAGTCGTGCGTCTTTTCAACTGCCCTCTTGATGAGGAGTTAATGAAAGACCTCAGGCTTCTGCAAATGATAATGCCCTGAAAAATAGCGTTACCCTTATAATAACACATTTCGGTGTGTCTGTTGAGCTACCATCCAGAAGGACACTTACATCCTGTGATTGACGCATGGTAGTAAGTGCCAGATCAAACGAAATATGTCAATCCACAAGCACCTGTGAGTCAACCACACCCTTGGATCGTCGTGGCACATGATCAACTGCTACGTTGTGTATGAATAGACTGCAGTAGTGTCAGGTTCGCCTTCACACAATACAGGCAGCAGCCGCAGCACATCTATTATAAGTTGCGCTATATCTATAATAGACATAAATAATGGATCTGTGTACCGACAGCGTCCCTGTACGTGTGGCATTTAAAAGCCCAATGACGGCATATGAAGCGAGGTTAAATTCCTTCAAAGAATGACTAATACAACTAAAACAGAAACCCGAAGAGGCAGCAAGCACTGGTTTTTATTACACAGGCTATTCCTACAAAGTTGTGTGTTTTTCCTGTAATATACGTCTGAGAGAATTGGCGCCGACAGACCGGCCTTTGGCAGAGCACAACCAGTGGTTCTCCCGATGTGATTCTATCAGGATGGTGGGCACAGGACAGAGAACAACAACAAAAGTTTGTGACCCCAGGCCCGTGCGAATCGCTTCTATATGATTATTTCCTGAGCCGGTGAAAAATACTGTATTTCTTTATTAGTGCATTTATGAATGCATGCTTGGAACATTGTTTGAATACAAGAAAAGTTAAAACCTGATTTGTCATCTTACGTCTTATAAATGCATAATTATACTGAAATGTATTCATTCGCAAAATGATCTTCTTCGGTAAAAGATCAGACCAAGATCCGGTATTAGTTGTAATACTCTGATTTACACGCGTTGTTGAACTCCCAGTGATTAAGTACATAAATCATGCCAGGGTCATTTTACTAGGACTCTGTTTCATTTGCAAAGGCCAAGACTGAAAGGCATTCAGCTGTCCTTGGAGCCTTGTTTGACGTTTAATCAGAGGAGGGGTACTGTCCATACACAGGTCTTGGTGTCCGCATACATCACCCCCAAGTCCAAACGACAAAGGGGATCCTGTAACTCTGTTATATTTTTGTCAGTAGGATCAGGAGTTTCAAGAGCAAGCAATTCCGTTGCTTCTGTCTCTCCACATCCCTCCAAAACTTTACAGAAGAGGTAGTAAGCTTCGGGGCCCCGTCTAGGTAAGGTCTCTGGCTCAGTCAAAGGAGGTTTGAGGTTATTTGATAATTTCAGCTTTCATGTAACAATTAGGGCTTTAAACTGTACCACGTCGTCTATATGTATGTACTAGTCTGGACTGATTCTTCCTGAGAATATCACGGTGAACAGTTTCCATTTTCTATCTTCGAGGTAAACAATCAACAGAGCCAGTAGAGTCAAGAGCATAGAACGGTTTTCACTGAGAAGAGACGTTCACTTCAAATATTCAGATGAGAATGAATTTCCAAACATTGTTTGTAGCCTTATATTCTCTCACTGTGATCTAAAATAGTAATTTGAGTCATAGTCTGTGCCGCCTATTGTTCCATACAGTGGCTTGTTATGCTACTCTACTATACTAATCAACAGTACAATTCATTTTACCTGTGTACAGTTATGTCCACAATGCAATGTCTTTTCAATATCATTTCAGCTGGTATACCTGTCCCTAGTGTTGTACGCTCCGTCGCTGGCTTTAAATGTTGGTAAGTGAATTCCATGATGTTTTCGACTGAGAAATCGCCACAAGATAAAGAGAGTACATTTTTACAGTAACTCGCCCATTCAGGCAGCAATGAATATCATACGAAATCCTACTGCTGCCACTTTTGAAACATAACAAATATTTCAACGAAATTTGTCGTTGCTTCGATTATTTTGTTGGTGTTTGGGAGTAATTTCTCGTTATTTCAATTATTTTTTTCATTTTTTCGAGTATTTTTGTTTCATCTCGATTAATGTTTCGTTGCTTCAAGTATGTTCTCGTCATTTTAATATTTTACAAACTCGACATTTCGAGTATTTTTTCGTTCCATTTCGTTTTTCTCGTATTATTTTCGCGTTGCTTTGAGTACTTTCTCGTCATTTCAAATTTGTTCTCTTTACACCAAGTTTCTTTCAAAAGCACGAAATTTCAAGTTTGGTAAAGAAACTTGAAGCAACGAGAAAATACTTGAAATTTCAAGTTTTGAAATTTAAAGAAACTTGATCTTGCGAGAAAATACTTGAGATTTCAAGTTTTTGAAAGACTCTGGAAGCAGCGAGAACATACTAGAACCAACGAGACATTTCGCTGAAAAAATATTTTGTGCCACAAAAGTGGCAGCATTAGGCTTTGTTGTATCATTCTTTGAGCATAAGAAACTCTGTAAGCAACACTATATATAGCTATCAATATCACAGTGATCAGTTTGTCATTGAATATACAACGTTGTTCCCTGGACCAGATTTCTTACTCTGTTTAAGGCCTGGACGATTTATGTCCTACCTGCCATAGTATCACGTCCGCCATGTAACAGTAAAGTACGGTAAATAAGGTAACATGTTAGACATCGGCATGTACCGCTCGGTCCTTTGATCGGACAGCTGAAATTCTGTACTATCTACTCATACACTTTGAATTCACAGGGGCGGTGGGGTAGCCTAAAGGTTAAAGCGTTGGCTCGTCACGCCGAAGACCCGGGTTCGAATCCCCACATGGGCACAATGTGTGAAGCCCATTTCTGGTGTCCCCCGCCGTGATGTTGCTGGAATATTGCTGAATCGGCGTAAAACCAAACTCAGTCAGTCAGTTGAATTCACAACTCTTCAGATGTACCTATGATCGAACCGGTTTTCAGCTTGTCGTAACTACTGTGCTTGTCCTACGGAGTGGAGTGGTCAGATTCGCTGACTTGGTTGATTGAGGTGAGGTGAGGTGAGGTGAAATTGGGTTTAACGTCGTGCTTGAGAATATTTCGCTCATATGACGACGTGCATGCGTGTGTATGTGTATGTGCGGCTGCTTGTACTATCCCAGACTGAAGCTGGTTTTATAGTGCTAGCCCACTGAGATACCATGCTGCAGTGAAGCATGAATACCCCACTCAGATACTTTATACTGACTCCGAGCCGACCAGTCCTTGTTGTACCCATTAATACCGAGCGCCAGGCAGGGACCAACAAGTACCATATTTTAACGTCTTTTGGTATGACGCGGTCGGGGATCGAACCCGCGACCTTCCGCACTCCGGGCGGACGCTCTAACCACTACACCACGGAGGCGGTCCTTGGTTGATTGAATGCCATCAAATCACAACTGAGTAAAGGGACGCTCATGTTTTGTTTTGTTTTGTTTTTGTTTTGTTTAACCCAGTTTCCATTATTTACTGACGACATATAGCAAAAATGTTGCTTAATGTGTGGATACGACCAACACAAAGTCTGCAGATGATCAGTACATTCGAGGCTCAGCAATGCTTACCAAGACTGAAATAGATTATAATTTATCAAATAATTCAGAACTTTGTCTTGATTAAAAAATGTGGCATAATACAGCATGCATAACAGTTATTACAATATTACATATGTTGTATGAAATATCTTGGGTATAGAGTACGACATCACATGTATTCTCATGAACCGTTATTGTTTCAGTAACAGGAATAAACCTATGGGGTTTACTGGCCTCCGTCGGTCTCATAGCTACTGTTTACACTGCTGTGGTGAGTTGTTGTTGTTTAATGAGATGCCGTTACAAACCGATATGGTCGTATTTGATTAAATACACCATACTACAAATAATAAGTTAAACACATATTATTGTGTCTGTAGTAATCATATACGTATCCCAAAATAATAAATCAATGTTATATACGAGTAAATATACCTTTCAGACCATCACGATAGAAACCTCAAAAATGGTTTATGCCTGAGAGGTTGCATGATCCGATGATCACCGAAATACGACTTTGCCATGCTAATGATGGTTTCTGAAATGATTCGCTAAAAGATCAAAGGCTCCGGCTGTGCACTTTGTCACGATATCTTCAGATTACCTCCCTTGTGAACGAAAGTATTCAGTCGTTCTTTCTTTACTCAGTCTGTCATATCAGACACCACGGTGGTTCGACACCAATTATAACAGGTAAAATACTTTCTTGAAACAAGTCCCTTACTTAGAAAACGTATGTGGCAAAATCAGATCGACAATCTCTCAGGGGTTTCATAACATATTTATCATCTAATGGAGGGTGTTATCGGTGCAATAAAGCAATCTGATAAACTTGGTATCCAAATCTGATAACTATGCAAATTAGGTCAATCCACGAACTGCTTTTACAAAACTCCATACACGCCATGCGAATCCTAAAACGTTAATATTTCATTGAAGACGTCGTCGCGAGTTTACATTGTTTGTAAACAAACATGGCTGCCCCATTCCTAAAATTGGTGATTTGGTAAGAATTGGTGACCTGAGGTTCTGCAGGAATTGACATGAAACATGAAACGAGTACTTCGTTCAAATTGAAGGTACGGATTATGAGGTACGACTGAAAGGCAATCGTCTAAGAAAGGTACCAACCAAGGATTTCGATCGATCTATCGATCAAACAATATGAGGTGATTACCCGACGACGAATCCGTTCCGTCAGGTATCAGAAACTGATATTGATGAGGTGATTACCCGCAGTGAAAATAGAAACACTGCCAGGAAAAGAACTGTTATCTCTGCCCGATTTTGTTGTTCTTTTTAAGACAGAAAGATCTTATTTTAAGAATGAGTTATGTTTGCACTGTATTAGTGACTAGTCAGTGAACTATACTTAGTTCCAACTGTGGTCTGGGTCTAAAGAACGGGACGACAACAGGCCTCAAGACTTCGTCAACGTAGCGTCGTGCTGGGTTACTCCCCTTAAGACTTCCACGACTTTGACCGTTGTTTTGAAAGATTACAGGTGGAACATGCCTTCCCCAGCTTATTCCACCCCACATCATAAGGGATGGCAAACCTCAGCGGTCACTTTCCAGAACACGTGGGTCTCTGAAACGTTCATTTCGTCGACGCCATACTCTCACTCTCCCATCTGCAACGGAGACCCAAAACGACACTCGTCTGAGAAAACAACGTTCTGCCACATATCTCCAATGCTGATGTTGGCGAGCCCATGCTAAGCGCAGACGACGGTGCCATGGTCCAAAATCGGTCCAACATAGGGTCTCCTACAGTGTAGCCGGTGTGCTCTCAAATGTCGACGCACAGTGTTTCCTGAAATTGGTCTGTTGTGAATCCCAATTGTCTGACGGGCTGTAACAGTAGCTGGAAGAAAACGGTTGGGAAGATGTGACGTTACGATGTAACGGTCTTGCCTGTGTGACGTCACTCGTGGCCTGCCATCTCTAGGTCGATCTCTCACCGAATTCGTTTGATTTTGGCGTCTAATCAGTCGGTAAATTGTCGTCCGATGTACTCCCGTATGTTGTGTAACATTGTCAACACTGGAACCAGCATCAATCATCCCAAGAGCACGTAGACGTGCTTCACTGCTCAAACATGGCATATTGTATTCTGAACCAATCAGAAAGAGAACACTACAGAAACTGCCGTCGCATCTTTTAAAGGGTTCTTTCTCTCGTTTTTTTTGACGAAAGTGTCGTATCATTAAATTCACGTGCACAGCGTGTCAGGGCAAGCGTTTATTTGCTCAGCTGTGGAAATCTAGTGCTCACCTTTCTTATTCAAATAAAACCGATCGCTGTTGATCGATATCCGTTTCAAAAAACAAACATGAATGTCGCGTTTCTTTTGGAACTAATGTTCGTCCGACGTCGACGCCATATCACGCCATACCATCGATTCACGTCGACTAGCGCGTCACATAGTGCAACAAACTCAGTAAACACTTTACTTAATGGCTTGCAGTTGCTTCAGTCTGATGACGTTAATGAATGCAACAGTATACAATGGTCAAAACTTTGTCCCTTGTCGTCAGTGTACAGGTAATTAGGTGGAACAGTCAAACATGTTTTGCCTGGATCAAATCTCTACAAAACATATCATTTTATGAAACTGTCAGTTAGGCTTGTTTCACTTTAAGGCGCTGTTTATTACAGATTTTGTATGAACACACAATGTTAGTCTTGATGGTGTGAGTGAGTGAGTTAATATTTAACGTCACATCGGCAATCACGGGACTGCCTGGTCTTGACTTGCTTTGTTTTGATCAACCGCTGTGATATTGCTTGAACTGTGCTGAGTGCGTATTTATATAACACCAAACTTCAATGCACCGTGGTCCGCCGAAACCAATCTCTACGGAGTTGCGTCCCTTATAAGTTGTGATGTTATTGTGTCAGTATATGCCGGTGTTCATGTGAATTTCACGTCAAGTATTCCTACTTACTTCCTGGACAATGTGTTATTTATGAATAATTATCTAAACTGACCTGAAACCAACCTTGTTCGGTTTGTTCATTTTGTTTGTTGTTCACCACTCACCACCAGCAATGTTCTAGCTATTTGACGGCGTTCTGTAAATAAAAAAAGGTTTTGATCAGTGATTAGCATCATGAGCATCGATCTACCCAATTGGGATACGATGTCTTCCTTTTCTTTGAATAATCGTGACGATTAGGAAACCATCTCTTGGTAAAAATGGAAATACCACAGAAGGACATGTATACCATGTCGTGCGACCTTTACCTTCATGAATCTGATATTTTCTCTAAAACGAGTTGATTCCAAATTCCGCTGACTTAAGAACTGTCGATATTTTTCGTATGGTGATCTACTTAAATAAATATAAATGGACCATTTTTATAATGTATTGTCCAATATAGTTATGTACATTTAAAGATATATGCTATCTAGTTTTAACCCTGTGAAAATATATGCCACTTTAGAAAGTGGTCTGTATCATATATTATAGTTTTAACCAATTTTGTGATAATCTAGTCCTTTTACTGTCCTTCGCTGTCAGGGTTTTATAAATTATGTGCATTTATCATGAATATAGAATTTGTTATAGTCACGATATGCCTGAAATACTGCCGATGTGAATTTAAATCTTAACTCACTCACTCACTCAATATTTTTCGTGAACGTCATGGCAAACCTGCAGACTGCTAAATAGAATGTTTTTGGACGGACGTATTCCTGTTAACATCGTTCTTTCTTTACTATCATGTCAGACAAGACGGCGAATCAACCAAGCCATTTACGGGTAAAATAAATTCTTTCTTTTGTCAGACACGGATCAACACCATTTTATGATTAATATCTCTACGTACACGTACAATTATCCATAAATACACTGAGCTGTTCTATATAGGGCGGTATGAAGGCCGTGTTGTGGACAGACACGCTGCAGGCGGTCATCATTGCCGCTGGGTTGTTTGCGGTTCTCATCCAGGGTTCCATCGTAATGGGAGGCTTCCAGAACGCCTGGGACATTGCCGCCAACAGATCTAGGATCAACTTCCACGAGTAAGACATTTAAGTGTAACAATATATAGTGTAACAATATATAGTATCTATAAAGTTGTAATGTCAGCCAAACATGTTGTCACAGGATGAACAGATAAAAGATACGTCTTGGACAACAAATTCTTACACCAAAATTCAAAAATGAATGACTGAGCAAAGACTGAAGCACATGCTCACGTCTATAACGGTTGCATATTTTAAAAAGAGCTAGGATAACATGGTTATCGGGAGTCAACGGGATTAACTAAGAGGATATCAATCAGGGTTTCAGTGATTGTCTTTCGTGCGATGACAATGACCGGAAATATAGCAGATTATATATAGCAGAATTGTCCTTCGTCTTGTAAAGATGTCAATATAAAATTTCAAATGTATACTTTCTTTTCTAGCAGCTTATTCTATATCTGTTGGAAAACTGGTAACCTTTATGGGTGTTTTACGGTACCAACTGAACCGTTCAGACTTCATCCTCAATAATCTCCAGGGTATATGTTCCGATAAATCTTCAGAGTACAGCAATTCTGTAAAACAATATGTTTCTACCTTTACTGCGTTTCGACAAGCCATTGTGCTTTTAAGTAACACACGATAAAAGTCCAAAACTTGAGACCCTCATTGTCCGCACTGCCTGGGATGCAACGTATACCAAGCAGATATGCCATCACATTTATCATCTCTCCAGGGTCAGTGCTGATCCAACAACACGGCATTCTGTATGGACGATCGTTATCGGCGGAGGTTTTTTGTGGCTGAGCAAGTATGGCATCAATCAGGCGCAAGTGCAGAGGGCTCTCTCCTGTCCGTCAGTCAGGAAAGCACAGATGTAAGCAAATGGCTGGGTGTTTGTGATCACATATTGGTTATATCATGGAGTAGGGTGAAGTACGGTATTTGGATTAACAACGCCTTCATTTCAATTAGGGGCAACGTCATCAAGCAAGTGATGTACATAGCATGAAAAGAAGCAAACATATATAGAATAATGCTATTTTTGAGGGCATTATCATTTGCAGAAGCCCGAGGTCTTCCATTAACTGCCCGACGAAGGAGGGCAGTTGAAAAAGACCGAGGGCTTCTGCAAAATGATAATGCCCCTCAAAAAATAGCATTACCGTTATTATTGCTAAAATACATGGAATTTGTGTTGAAAAGAAAAAGGAAACAATGAAGGAATTTGACTGTAAGTTTACCCAAATCAACTTCTGATGGGGTTGACTGCCCGAATGCAATTACGTCATCGAACAATTCAAGTGACGTCACAAGAGAAAGTGACGATATTCGACCTTGGCCTTTGACAAAACCATAGCCTGCAACATATCAAACTATGTCAGTGTTCGGTTTTGGTCCATCAACAGTCTTAATAGTGCAAATGTTAAGGTTAGCACCAACAAGAAAGCCAATATTACCGCTATTTAAAGCGGGAATTCGGGTTGCTTTGACTTGTTTGACCCAGAATATCTGCCAGTCGAAAGCCAATTAATGTCGAATGAACCGTAAGCCCACGCACCCACGATGACGTCACTTGACAACAGAACTGATAGTGGCCCGTCGTTAAGGTTGAGCGGTCCAATATCATTTGCAGCGGACCGCAAATTTCTGATAATGGGAGGGCCGTTTCATGATAATTCCATGTATTTTAGCTATAAAGCCTGTTAACCCGCATCATGCACATAGCAGGATTCTATATTAACCACAACCAATAAATTCTACAATAAATTTAAGTATTATATTTGTAAATATGCTTCCTCATTAACGCTCTGTGCATTACTTTCTGTTTTATTCATCCATGTCTTACCCTTACTTAAAACTCCCACTTCTAAATTCATTGTGGATTTTTTAGCATTAAACTTTTGAAAAAATTAATCTGGAAAAATATAATTTGTTCGATGTTAAATGTGTCTATCTTTCATCTTTTTAACACTAATTTCTTATATAAAGTGGCGTTTAATCCACTAATTAAACTCACAAAGATTAGCATTCAATTTGTTATATACCTTAAACTAATCTACTCATTGTGACAAAATTGCCTTCACTATTTCAGCTTTTTCGACATATGGAATCTGTTTCAGGAGATATTACAGACTTATCATTCTCGGGAACTGACGTTTTGAATATACGGAAAGCACGAGTGATTACAATGATCGAATTATTATTAATGATTGGCAAATGAGTACGATGTAACAATTTCTATCTTTGTCTGCAGTGCTCTTTTCTTGAATCTGATCGGCCTCATCTTCATCGTCAGCATGTGCTGCATGATAGGCATCGTCATGTTCGCCTTCTACGCCGACTGTCATCATCTCCAGTTCAACAACCTCATCTTTAGTGCAGATCAGGTACACGTTATTATCACTACTTGACATCATGGAAACGCGTGAGATAGTGTTTAAACCCAACAAAATAACGTAAAATTGGATTCGACCCACAACTTACAGAAGTTACACCGAACTTTATAAAGCTGCCAAAACACTACCAGTTTAACACGACACCCGAATCAAATACAATGCCATCGAGTAACCATTTCATCTTTGATTTTCAGCTACTATCAAACATAGCTGTATTCTTTGTTCCGGTGGGCGGATCCTTACAGTGGATAATGATGTTTATGCAAATAGTTTCGCATATATTTATGATATATTGAAAACACCGATCAATACACATTTCCGACATGTGGCTCTCAAGGCAACAGAATAAGGAAGCCAGTCAAATATGATCAAATATTGACAAAACACAAACAAGGCACTATCTATAACGCAGCATTTGATTTAGAGCTACGTTGACGAATACGTATTCGATTTTATTCCGTTGACCATAAATACGTAGAATCGTTTATTGTCGCAAATCAATGTGAACAAAATATTGACATCGGGTATCGGTTGGTCGGGCCGACTTTGTTTATATATGTCATCGTGTCCCAATGGAGCATATCGATGCTCAGTCACTGGAATGTCCTGTCCAAACTCGATTATTTACAGATCGCCGTCTTTCATCTGGTAAATTGCTGAGTTTGGCGTTAAACAACAAACAAGCCATAGCCACATAGGAGTACATTGGTCATTTCAATAAAGATTCTTAAAGGTCTCATGCAACGTAAAACACAACTTTGCAGATTCTGATACCTTTCGGTATGGACATACCGAAACAAATCGTCAAAAATGCAAATTCAACTTATAAAGTTGAACAATAACGCGATGAAAAAAAACGCGCGAAATCGGAGTTCAAACGTTTCACTAATTTTCCCCAGACTTTTCTGGGGAAAACGGGTTTCAACAGCTGGGCTTCGCTCATAGCACGTGCGCAAGTAAATAGGTTCGCGCAGCTTGGAAGCGGGTTGTCCGGTGAAAACTCGGTGAAGGCTTTGGTGTGAGCTATTTTTCTAATGTTTTGTTGATATCTCACAGGCGCGAGCTTTTTATGTGTTATGGCAGTAAATTAACTGTTTATATAATTTCATTTGTCTATTTCACCACACGTTCTTCTTACCGAGACACTTTCTCAGTTCGATACTTAAAAGCAATGTCATTATTTAGCGTTGACACAATTTCTAACTGTGATATAGATATGTCGTTGTCACAGACAAAACTCGATGTCTTGTTTTATTGACACCTGTGTGTCTGCCTGCCTGTCTGCTAATGACAATATTCAATACACAGCTGCTATCACTGACCACATGCAATTTGAACTTAACACCAATCAGGCTATACACCATAAACAAAATGCATTGATTTATGGCCCGAGTTCGGCCTCTGTCACATAATGTAATTACACAGACAGGCAGGTGTGATACTTGAACACATGACATGTTATGATGTCTGTTGATTGCAAAATGTTATACACAAAAATGAGCATGTATTTACAAAACCCAACATCTCTATATATACACACACAATGAGCATCTGCAAGTGAACAAGCCGTTACACTTGAGTGCACACCCACCCGCTCTGACTGGGTTCGGTATCCCGGCTGCTTCGTTTCTTTGGAAGTAAACCGAAGTACACAATATTGCACTTTTGATTTGCGATTGTACGCTTATAATTTTGTTTATATGTTTTTTCATAACCAGCAATGTATATTATATGTCATGAATAAGTGATAATTGTGTTTTAATTATGTTTGATTTTTTGGTTGCATGTGACCTTTAAGCGAAAAGTTACTTGACCGCTGACATCAAATTATGTAGCTTCTATTCTGCTTTGTATTTAGCTGAACAGACGTTCGGTTTCAATTTCGGCTTAAAATGACAATTAGCGGTCTTAAATCACAAGCTAAATTGAATAGCTTTATCTCCTACATCCTGGATATTTGTACCATTAACTCCACATTATCCACAGCTGTTGCCGCTGTATGTGATGGACATCCTGGGACACCTGCAAGGACTGCCGGGAGTGTTTGTCTCCTGCATTATCAGCGGAAGTCTCAGGTACACGGTTATCTGCCCTTAACTATGAGATCACGTGAGAGATTGAGATTGCGCTCCACAGTAAACGTTACACTCGCTGCTTATGTCTTGTATCCGACATCTAGCTGAAAATGAAGTAGTGTATCAGTTTAATGTTGGACAAATCTGTCAGTTGTGTCTGTTTCAGCTCGCTGTCCTCAGGTTTCAATGCAATAAGTGCCGTAATACCCAAAGACTTGATCCAGCCATTCTGCTGCAGCAAGATGTCGGACAGGACTGTAACTATTCTGTGCAAGATTATTGGTAGGTTGCCATCGCACCAGTATCTCGTTAAAAATGTATATGGACCCACTCTACACACAATGTGTACAGGGATTAGACCGTTCGCTCGACACGCCAGAAACCCGGTTCGATTCCACACATCGGTACAATGTGTGAAGCCCATATCTGGGGTCCTCCGCCGTGATGTTGCTGGTGTAGTGCTACCATAATGACGGTCAAATCATGTAGGTCCTCGGTATCTTCTGTTGAGTCAACTAGTAAGGGGATCGGGTGGACAAGCTCTATGACCCAGCTGATCCCGCATCCCCGTTGCTCATACTCACAATCACTGGTTTAACAGGTCCAGAGATAGATATATACAGACACGGATATATTTGACACAGTGGTAACTTCGACCGTAAACAACATTCTCTCTCACGTACCTTAAGCGCCTTCACATCATTTAAGGAACAAGTACATCTGACAAATATAATGCAAGGATAAAATTGAGTATTTGTCAATCATTTAGCATATGCATAAAAGTTGAAGGAAATTTAAACTTTATAGAAATTTTACCTCAGATAAAAGCAAATGAGTAGTTTACTTGTTTTCCTTTAAACAGTGTTCACAGTTGGAGGTCTGACGATAGCCCTGGCGTTTGTTGCGTCACAGTTAGGGAACGTGATGCAGGTGCGTGAAGTAGTACGTGGACAGTTTAGGCCGTGTCTGCCAATACACCCACAGTTTGGCCTATAGGGCATTTAAGGTGATGTTCACAGATTACCAGGTTGGAGTATTTGAGACGGACATAAAATATCCACGATGTCCGTATGCAGACCTGGTGGCAAGGTGGTGGTTTAAGTCACTTATTATTCACCAACATTCGCTGATTCAGGAAATAAAAAACCTGGTGTCTTTTATTTTATTTCACCACCTTTTACAGAGAAATATAGTGTAAATGTCAGCCTTCCAGTTATTCATTACAAATACGAGTTACAGTAGAAAAACAGCGTTCTCACTAACTGTGAGAGGTTGCACAACACTACGCTGTGCTATGTATTTGTATGCGATACGTCAAATCAACAACCACTCCCTGAAACATATTCCATGGTAGTTTCAGAATAGTGGTGAACATTATATGAATGGATTGGGGGACATTATTGATTGGACATGAAATTGATGATACGTTACTTTAACATTTTACGATAATACTATGTTGCATACACCTGATCCACAACGTTTCTTCTTTAGGCTGGGTACATGGTGCCAAGCGTTCTCACCGGGCCTATATTTGGCCTCTTCATCCTGGGGATGTTCTTCCCCTGGGCAAATTCTTGGGTAAGCATAGTTTCAATTAACAGACTTTCCTACTGTCGTCTAGACTGACTGACTGAACCTTAGGCGTGAGCATTATTTGCCACCATTTGCAATTCTTGTAGGGTGCTCTTGCTGGGGGTCTGACGTCGGTTACACTCATGGTCTGGATCTGTGTTGGTGCATATCTGAACAAAGCGTCCACCGGTGTTTTGTCATCCTTTTCAACTGACGGTTGCAACTGGAACGTCACTACACCGTCGGCTACGCTGCCAACCACCACCTCACCATTAAACATAAGCACAGACGATGCTGCCCTTCCTTCGCCAGGCCCAAGGTATGTACATGTATTTTCTTCTGGCATCGGACTCGGGCTCAACTTTAACTCTCTGTCCCTGGCGTATTGCCCCCGTATACACCCGTGACGATCGCACGAGCAAGTCCAGGCTGCTCATAATGATAAGATGTATCCATATGTGTTTGTGATGCACTATCAAACTACCCTCCGACAGCTGTAGCGGTGGTTGTTGTAGTTGGGTCTTTGTCGTCAGCTTCATCACAGGTGAGTATCACTATTCCTATGTACTGGTAAGGCATCTGCTTGTAACATATGTTAACCCACATCAGTGTGACTTGTGGGTGTGGGTATGTTTGGCTAGGACATAAGGGTGGGGTGCATATGACTGGTGAAATTTTCTTATGTGTGATGATTCGCCCTCCACGTCTAACACAAAATCTTTTGGCCTCGTGATCCATATCTCCTGAAATGTATTATCATCACATATAAAACATTGAAGTTTCAGGTGTGAAATGTATTATCTTCACACATAAAACAATTAAGTTTCAGGCGCAGAGTGATCCTTATCTCCTGGAATGTATTATCATCACACATGTTTCAGGTGCAGAGCGATCCTTATCTCCTGAAATGTATTATCATCACACATGTTTCAGGTGCAGAGCGATCCTTATCTCTTGAAATGTATTATCATCACACATAAAAGAATAAAGTTTCAGGTGCAGAGTGATCCTTATTTCCTGAAATGTGCGACTATCATTGTACAGAAAACAATGAACTGTCAGGTGCAGAGTGATTCTTATCTCCTGAAATGTATTATCATCACACATGTTTCAGGTGCAGAGCGATCCTTATCTCCTGAAATGTATTATCATCACACATGTTTCAGGCGCAGAGTGATCCTTATCTCCTGAAATGTATTATCATCACACATAAAGTAAAGTTTCAGGTGCAGAGCGATCCTTATCTCCTGAAAAGTATTATCATCACACATAAAAGAATAAAGTTTCAGGTGCAGAGAGATCCTTATCTCCTCAAAAGTATTATCATCACACATAAAAGAATAAAGTTTCAGGCGCAGAGTGATCCTTATTTCCTGAAATGTGCGATTATCATTGTACAGAAAACAATGAACTCTTAGGCGCAGAGTGATCCTTATCTCCTGAAATGTATTATCATCACACATGTTTCAGGTGCAGAGCGATCCTTATCTCCTGAAATGTATTATCATCACACATGTTTCAGGTGCAGAGTGATCCTTATCTCCTGAAATGTATTATCATCACACATGTTTTCAGGCGCAGAGTGATCCTTATCTCCTGAAATGTATTATCATCACACATGTTTCAGGCGCAGAGTGATCCTTATCTCCTGAAAAGTATTATCATCACACATAAAAGAATGAAGTATCAGGTTCAGAGTGATCCTTATCTCCTGAAATGTATTATCATCACACATGTTTCAGGTGCAGAGTGATCCTTATCTCCTGAAATGTATTATCATCACACATAAAATAATGAAGTTTCAGGTGCAGAGCGATCCTTATCTCCTGAAATGTATTATCATCACACATGTTTCAGGCGCAGAGTGATCCTTATCTCCTTAAAAGTATTATCATCACACAAGAATAAAGTTTCAGGTGCAGAGCGATCCTTATCTCCTGAAATGTATTATCATCACACAATGTTTCAGGTGCAGAGTGATCCTTATCTCCTGAAATGTATTATCATCACACATGTTTCAGGTCATTGTCTTGAAATGTAATCATCAACTGTTTCAGGTGCAGAGTGATCCTTATCTCCTGAAATGTATTATCATCACACCTAAAGAATAAAGAACTGTCAGGCGCAGAGTGATCCTTATTTCCTGAAATGTATTATCATCACACCTAAAAGAATCAAGTTTCAGGTGCAGAGTGATCCTTATCTCCTGAAATGTATTATCATCACACATAAAAGAATGATTTCAGGTGCAGAGCGATCCTTATCTCCTGAAATGTATTATCATCACATCACATGTTTCAGGTGCAGAGTGATCCTTATCTCCTGAAATGTATTATCATCACACATAAAGGAATAAAGTTTCAAGGTGCAGAGCGATCCTTATCTCCTGAAAAGTATTATCATCACACATAAAAGAATAAAGTTTCAGGTGCAGAGATCCTTATCTCCTCAAAAGTATTATCATCACACATAAAAGAATACAGTTTCAGGCGCAGAGTGATCCTTATTTCCTGAAATGTGCGATTATCATTGTACAGAAAACAATGAACTCTTAGGCGCAGAGTGATCCTTATCTCCTGAAATGTATTATCATCACACATGTTTCAGGTGCAGAGCGATCCTTATCTCTTGAAATGTATTATCATCACACATGTTTTTCAGGTGCAGAGCGATCCTTATCTCCTGAAATGTATTATCATCACACATGTTTCAGGCGCAGAGTGATCCTTATCTCCTGAAATGTATTATCATCACACATGTTTCAGGTGCAGAGCGATCCTTATCTCTTGAAATGTATTATCATCACACATGTTTCAGGTGCAGAGTGATCCTTATCTCTTGAAATGTATTATCATCACACATAAAAGAATAAAGTTTCAGGTGCAGAGTGATCCTTATTTCCTGAAATGTGCGACTATCATTGTACAGAAAACAATGAACTGTCAGGTGCAGAGTGATTCTTATCTCCTGAAATGTATTATCATCACACATGTTTCAGGTGCAGAGTGATCCTCATCTCTTGAAATGTATTATCATCACACATGTTTCAGGTGCAGAGCGATCCTTATCTCCTGAAATGTATTATCATCACACATGTTTCAGGCGCAGAGTGATCCTTATCTCCTGAAATGTATTATCATCACACATAAAGGAATAAAGTTTCAAGTGCAGAGCGATCCTTATCTCCTGAAAAGTATTATCATCACACATAAAAGAATAAAGTTTCAGGTGCAGAGAGATCCTTATCTCCTCAAAAGTATTATCATCACACATAAAAGAATAGAGTTTCAGGCGCAGAGTGATCCTTATTTCCTGAAATGTGCGATTATCATTGTACAGAAAACAATGAACTCTTAGGCGCAGAGTGATCCTTATCTCCTGAAATGTATTATCATCACACATGTTTCAGGTGCAGAGCGATCCTTATCTCTTGAAATGTATTATCATCACACATGTTTCAGGTGCTGAGAGATCCTTATCTCTTGAAATGTATTATCATCACACATGTTTCAGGCGCAGAGTGATCCTTATCTCCTGAAATGTATTATCATCACACATGTTTCAGGCGCAGAGTGATCCTTATCTCCTGAAAAGTATTATCATCACACATAAAAGAATGAAGTATCAGGTTCAGAGTGATCCTTATCTCCTGAAATGTATTATCATCACACATGTTTCAGGTGCAGAGTGATCCTTATCTCCTGAAAAGTATTATCATCACACATAAAATAATGAAGTATCATGCGCAGAGTGAATCTCCTCAAATGTATTATCATGCGCAGAGTGATCCTTATCTCCTGAAATGTATTATCATCACACATAAATGTTTCAGGTGCAGAGTGATCCTTATCTCCTGAAATGTATTATCATCACACCTAAAAGAATAAAGTTTCAGGCGCAGAGTGATCCTTATTTCCTGAAAAGTATTATCATCATTGTATAAAATAATGAAGTTGCAGGTGCAGAGTGATCTTTATCTCCTGAAATGTATTATCATCACACATGTTTCAGGAGAGTGATCCTTATCTCCTGAAAATGCATTATCATCATCACACATAAAGAATAAAGTTGCAGGTGCAGACCGATCCTTATCTCCTGAAAAGTATTATCATCATACATAAAAGAATAAAGTTTCAGGCGCAGAGTGATCCTTATTTCCTGAAATGTGCGATGGTCATTGTACAGAAAACAATGAACTGTCAGGTGCAGAGTGATCCTTATCTCCTGAAATGTATTATCATCACACATGTTTCAGGAGCAGAGTGATCCTTATCTCCTGAAATGTATTATCATCACACATAAAAGAATAAAGTTGCAGGTGCAGACCGATCCTTATCTCCTGAAAAGTATTATCATCATACATAAAAGACTAAAGTTTCAGGCGCAGAGTGATCCTTATTTCCTGAAATGTGCGATGGTCATTG